ATGACCTTTATGGCCCCATATGCTCACCTTTGCCCCTTTATTGCCTCCTCGGCGTAGTGACTGAAGTCTGCGAACTAGTTACAGTAATGACGCAGACTTTGGTTGGCACATGCGATTCGAAGCCTCTTACAGGTTCCCTATCTTAAGGGCTCGTCTTGTTACGGAACTTGCATGTGCAGTTGTTTCACTTTGACGTTGACTCATCATTCGCCTCGCCTGGATTGTCCGAGTGTGAGAGCCGAAACCCTGAGCTTTGATTTTGGTACACTCTTGGAGGCACGAGGGATTAGCTGCTAAAGTAAGACCGACGTGAGGCCACATGTGCCTCCCCTCGCCTGCGTGGCCCGAGTTGCGAGAGTGCAAACCCTAAATTGTCCGAGTGTGAGCGCCGCACCCTAAAACGGTGTAGGCGGAGTGTGGTTTAAGGTTGCTGCCCAGGGTAGCAAGGGCGGTGGCTCGCGAACTCGCCCAGGATGAGCTCAAGTCGCGGATTTCACAGCTCCAGCAAGCGTCACTTCGGTCGCAAAGCGGGGGGGGGGTTAGCCAGGTAGGGCATCGTCCCATCCTGAAGAGTTGACGAGACAAAGCTGGGCGTTCCCTTGCCAGAAAGAAATAGACGTGCAGGCCTTTGCGGTACTCGCGGGATGCCCACACACTTTGTATTGTACTATGTCAAATTCTGTCTTCGTTTACAGTATTATAACTGTAGTAAGATAAAGCCAAGTCTAAGTCAAAAATAGTTATTAGTATAGTACAGTATAAAGCAAAACCATGCACAGCCTAGCATAGCATGGCACAGTATTGTGTAGTAGGTCAGGGTATAGTACAACAGCACGGTATAGTAAGTAGTATAGCATGGTAGAGTAGGAGTCGAGTAATTTGAGTATAGTCCAGCAGAGTGTAGTTTCGTATGCTAAATATCGAGAACACCTAGCTTTGTAGATGCATAATTTACTGGACACCCGCGAAGATTGTGCGAGTTGCAGAGTGGCCGGGCTTGGGACTCAAAGCCTCCAGCATCAGCCAAGGTGTAGTGGCCTGGAAGGAGAGAACCGGTATCTTCGAGAGCAAATCGCCGAGTTGGAAGCTCGAGTTGCAGTACAGGCCCTCCTAAGCCCACTTGGCTTCCCGAATAGCTACTTTGTGACTCGTTCACCTATGTACTGTGCAAAGGGGTGGATGATGACGTGCATGTTAGACATTTAGACACGACGCGTACAAGCCCCTGTTGTTTTGTGTGTATTCGATCAGCCGATCTGATCGGCTGGTCGGGTTTAGGGGTTTCAGGTTTTGGGTTTAGGGTCAGCTGATTGGCTGATCGGCTGATGGCAGATGTAGTCATCTGTGTATGCACGGATGTCCGTACGTATGTGTGTGTGTGTGTATGCATGCACGTGAGCTGCTTTGCATGCATGTATGTGTCCCGGTATGTACTTGTACCCTTGCGCTCATACAAGTAGACCGAGCAGGCATTAAGTCACACAGTATTGTGTAGTTTGAGGTTTGAGCCAGCTGGTGCTGTATTGTATAGAACGACATGCTTAATCGAACAGCATACGTATGTGTAATAATGTGCAGATGGGCAAGGATGTGTAGCCATATACACACTTACATACACTCACATAGTCGCGGACGTCGCGGATGTATACTTGTGTATGCATTCATACTGTCCTTTGGTCTGTTTCATGCCCAGGATCACAGGGTTCAAAGATCTGAGCTTATCTCCTTAGTCGGTGAGACGGCAGATGCCGAGGCTGCCGTGACATGTGCTTTGCGCTGCAACACCGGGGATCAGGAAAGGTTTTGAAGCACAGCAGGGCCGGATCGGTGAGACAGAGCCGGCCCGTCTTCAATAATGTACCTTCCGTAGAGGTGGATGCACCAGGCAACCATTGGGGTTGGCTGCGAGAGCCCAGGAGAAGCAAAGTCTTGGGAAGTCTATGCCACCAGCAACGGGCGGCACCAAAGCAACACGAGTCTTGCGGCGCGTGCCTCTCCAAGCAAGTCATTTCCAGTGAACTCTGCAAGCAGCCCTGCGCAGTACGAGCCAAGGTCTGCAGTGAGCCGAGCCTTCCGGGACCGGACCCATGGTTTCAGCTTGAAGACGATCTTCAGGAGCAGGGTGAAATGTGCCAACGCAGTGCAATGTCGCAGGTGATTCCCAGACGTGGCGATCTACACTAGAGTCTGTCTCATGCCGTCAGTGGGAAGTCGTAGGTCCAGCATCTGCGCAGGACATCCACGCAGTCTGCCATCGGAATCTTGGACTCAGTCTTAAAGCCTTCACTCCAAACACTACAGACCAGAAACTCGAATCCAGCCATGCTTCCGTGGGATTTCTGCGAGACCCGTAGTGAACATAGCTGCAAGGAGTCATTCTAACATGGGGAGGCTGCGACCTGCTGGGACATGTCCTGAAGGCCATGAGCTGGAACCTGGGCTTGAATTCGACTCAGAGGTTGGATGCAAAAGTTACGCAAGCAGATGCCGTAGGAGCTCTAGGTTTGGCCAGGCCCAGGCAAAGTCGCGAGGGGAACTTCGAAAGGGAGAGGGGACTAACCTCTACCCAAGTGCTCCTGTCGACTGCCGGGCCAACTTAGGTAGACTTGGGAAGCAGCGCACAGCCATCTCCTGCAGCTGCCAAGGCCTTGAAAAGCTGTGTAAGGAGACGTCACCGCTCTCATTCAAATTTCGCTGTTTCGCACCTCGCTGCTTGATGTACTTGCCCCAACCTGCGTAGCTAACAGGGCATGGTTGCTGCGGCATGAACCAGGCTGAAACAGAGTACAGCCAGTCCAACATGTCAGATGCCTTGTCCCGAGGTGGAGTACACCGAGTGGCACTGTGATGGTGCCGGTTGCTACGGAAGCTCTCTTGCTCCAGACCTCGGACGCTACCATTGCAGCCTTTGTCAGCACGACTTGTGCCAGACCTGCCCCCTGGCAGCCTAACAGCTGCAAATGTAGCAGAAGATGGGATGCTATCCTTTTCGTGTTCGGGGCACTGTTCAACTGTTGTGCCTTTGCGCATGCAGGAGTCAGTATGGTGCAGGTTGCAAGGTGCACGGTTGGTATTCTTGTTAGTCGGAAATGAACACGGCTTTTCCTTCAGAAGCATCCCAAGATTCGGCTCCGCCGATATTTCCCAGCCGTGCAGTCTTGGGGTTGTCAGTCTGCCCGTCTGCGTGAGGCTACGACCAGTTGGTGGGTCAGCCTCACCCGAGGGAGCGGGTTCGCCGCACTTCCTTCGTTGTGCCAGTCAAGCCAAAGCGAGAGCCGCCATCGAGGCCAGGCCAGATTCTGACGTCTGAAGCGAATCTCCGGTGATTGTCTGTCAGGACCCCACGCCGACCTCTTGCTTGGGAGCCAAAACCAAAGAGTCGCTCCGAAGGGGAGGCGCAGACAGAGACACACCAGGCCGCCCAAGCCCCAGCCCAGAGTCAAGCCCAAGCGCAGTGGGCACCCAGCAAAAAGCAGCAAAGCCTGGAGCGCTTGGAGGAAACCTCCAAAGCCCCAGCACTCCGAAAGTCTCGGGGGCGGAGTCCGCGAAAGCCTCTGCAGTTTCCTCATCTCTCCGGCCCTGTTGAGACCTCCATCACCTCCTTCGCTTCAGCATCCACAGCCTCCACGACGCCCGAACCCTTGCGGAAGAAGCTGCACGCGCAAGCAGAGCAGAGGAGGAGCTACGCACCTGTTCGAGGCAAACGCGCTGCTGCCTCGCTGCCCCCTTTGTCGCTCGCGACACCGGGCGGGGGTGGTTTGCGAATGCAAGCGGCCCCTTCGGCCCCGACATCGGCACGGAGAGAAGATGCGGAGCAGAAGTCTGGTCCGCTCCCTTCAGTTGGAAGGGAAAGCCACTTGCTGAATGCTTCCGACAAAACCCGGGTGGCCGTGACGGAGAGCCCCAGACTTGACCACGGTCGTGGCCAATCGCAGCCTCCCACCAAAGCTGTGCCCCCGAGCAATGTTCAACCTCCATCTGCTCGGCGCCCCGTGCCTGCAGCAATGGCAGCAGCAGCCGTAAGCCTTCTGCCGGAGGCAACTGACATGAGGGCCTTGTTGGGAGACCTGAATGCGAAGCATGCAGGATCTGTCACGTGACGTTCAATGACCGAGCTAGAACCCTCATCATCTAATCTACTAGCGCTAATGCCTGAAGAGTGGAGAGGAATACCCTTTCTGCCTGATGGCATGACATCTAGGTATACAGGTTCTCACAAATTGAAGGAGCACCTAGACTCCTCCAACAAACTCTTCGGCAGCGTGTGCTGGCAAAGCCATTGCCAAAATCAAGGACACAGTCATGCATGCGTTATGCAGGCAGTCACATGGGTGTGCAGCCAACGTAGGCCCAATGATCCTAACGCTTCGGTCGGTATTGTGGAGGTTGCACGCGAAGTGGCTCGGTATGCAGCTGAGATCGAGCAGTTCGATACTCAGTTCAGCGAAGATTCGGGCCTGCAGACTCCGCTCCCAAGTCTCACCCGGCTTTGCTCCTCACATTTCGGCAGCCTTGTTGCTATCTCGGAGTGCGCAGCAAGGTGGAAGCGCCAGACAGAACAGGTGCGGCGGCAGAAGACTGGCGAAGTGACCAGGTGGGGCATGGACTGCACGCACGCGTGCCTCGATCCATTAGCCCCTGCACCATAATTACCCGCTGGGCACTGGGCACCCTTGATGCTTGGGCAGATTCCGGGCTTTGGCCCGCTGGCTAGACCTGCTCAGGCAGTACCAACAGCATGAAGTCACCGTGCAGTCAGTGCCTCAGAGTGGCTTCAGGTGCTTCTGCAGTGGCCAACAACACAGACACAGACACAGACACAGACACACACACACACTGTCAGTCCCGATGTGCTCAAATTGCAACAGGACACTGAACCAGCGCATCGACAAGCTCCAGAAGGAGATCATCCAGTGCGACAGGTGTGCAGTGACCCGAGAAAAACATCTGTGATCACGAAAGCTACCGAGAGAAGTGGTTTTGCAAGTCACTTCGTCGAGCAGAATTGCAAAGCCCACTCTTTTAAGGGGGAGAAGAGAAACAGCACAGACAACGACGACTAGGCCAGAGCAGCAGCGTCAACAGTCTTGTTTAGAACGATGAGAAGCATAATGTTGCCATGGATGGTGCTGGCGGTGACGACGGTGATAAACAATGACGACAGTGCTGCAAGACGATGATGGCAACAAGAACCTCAGTAATGACTCATGACTTGTATGGCGGGTGATGATGATGACGACGATAGCGAGATGATACCGGGTTATCACCACACGTTGGATCTTGCGTTCCTGACAGCAAGGCCAAGTCCTGGGAGGAGGAGAAATCCAGAAGGCGCGCATTCGTAGGTCAAGAGCTCCGTGGCGCGAATTTGGGAGTGCACATGATCCAGTCTTGAGGACCACAGGCCCGCCCGGCAATGCAAAAACCGTCGACTCACTCAAGTGTGTTTCGTTTTTCTGCTTCTGGAAAAACGCCGGTCATTTCCGTTCCCACCAGCTTCTGGATGACCCGCCATGGAGGACGAATTCTGCTCCGACATCGCCAACTGCCTCTAGCCCGGTCTGCCTGAGTGGTGTTGTCCAAGATGGGATCAGCCGCAGTCTGTGTGCACATACTGCCGATGCTCAGCTAGGGGAGCGCCGGGCACAGTTTCTCTGCGCAATCGGAGCTCGTTGAGCCAAGGTTCTCCCTGGCCTGGTCATCTTTCAGAGGCCACTTCCAAGCCCGGATCTCAAGCAAGAGCGGACCCTAATTGTTCTGATCTTTTGACACAGTGTGGCCCCGTTCCTCATCCATTGGAGATTCAGCTCCATAGACACGAAGGGTGAGAGGCATGCATGACAGCAATCGAATGAAGAGCTTTGGGCAAAGGCAGGGATCTAGATGTTCCGCCTCCACTCCGTTAAGGGACGGGGGGGGGTGAGTGCAGCGGACACCAACTTTTTTTTGTCTACATGAGGCCATCACGAGCGAAGGAAAGCCCTTCTGATCGGCGTGAATTACTCGAACTCCCATGCTCCTCTGAAGGCACGGCTTTGTAGCTGTTCTTGGATATGAGGCTCCCAAATTGAAGGACGCATGTATAGTACGAACGTGGCATCTTATGCATGCATGCATATGATGTATGACTTCCGACTTCAGAGCACGGCATGTGAAGAGGGGGCGGTTGTGTGCTGCAGGAGTCTGCCGCCAGCAGGCTTAGGATTGCTTTCTGCAACTCGCAGAGACACACGACTGCTTCAGTAACCTCTTTTCAGCGGCAAGCATCAATCCGGAATCATTCCCCCTGACATCGGCCAGGGCTGCGTCAACGATGTGTGGAATATGCAGTGTTTGCTGCGGTACACCCTTCGGTGCCCACCAGATTGCGGTCTCATGCCTTGAGCCATGCTGATCAAGCGTTTCTTCGCACGGGAAAGGGCGCGAAGGGGAGCTTCGTCTGGCTTTAGGAACGGTCAGGAACAGCAAAGCACCGTAGACACTAACAGACGCAGGTACACCCCTGAACAACTGCAGCTGCTGGTCGACGGCGCAGACGGGCAATCCAGGCGCCAGAAGAAGTTCTTCACAACCCGTCCCAGTCGCTGCCACTGTTGCGGCCAAGACCTCCAAGCATAGGTGACCGGCTTCCGTTGCAACAAGTGGAGTTTCCAGATCTTCGTCTTCTGCTGAACGCAGGGCTTGGGGCCAGCTGTGCTCGAGACTTGATCTCGGACCTGACTTGTGGCGTTGCTGCATCCTCCTGTGCTGTTGAAATGGGGCAGGCCGGACAGAGCCCCGACGAAGGCCTGCTGCTCGTTGCGGTCTAGTGTTCCTGCGCCTTCCGATCTGCAAAAATGACGCCACACTGCTCGCTCGCTCCTTCCATTCTCGCGAATGGGTGGATTGTAATTAAATATAGAGCTGCAGTCAGCCGACCCCCGCCGCTGATTTGCTCGTCTACGAGTCTATGCTGTCTGCTGTGGTCAGGTGAAGTTTCGGATAGTTCTAGAGCTAGCTGAGTGCCTGGCGATTGTCACGAAACACAGCAGTATGGCAGACTTACGTTTAGCACAGTGTACGTGTGCTGTCGTCTACTGATTCAGCTCAACAACAGAGTAGAATCATGAGCCCGCCCCATGGATACTTCTGCAGCGCTGCAAAGTATGTAAGCGCAAGTGTGCGTGTGTGTGTGTGTGTGTGATGTCGTATACATGTAAAGCTACTTGTTGTGGTTGTGGTTGTGGTTGTGCTTGTTGTTGTTGTTGGTGGTGGTGGGGGTGGGGGTTGGTGGTGGGGGTGGCGGTGTTGGTGTTGGTGTTGGGGTGCTGTTGGTGTTGGTGGCGTTGGTGGTGGTGGTGGTGGTGGTGGTGGTGGTGGTGGTGGTGGTGGTGGTGGTGGTGGTTGCTTGTTGTTGCTTGTTGCTGCTTGTTGCTGCCTGTTGCGTCTTGTTGCTTCTTGTTGCTTCATGTTTCTTGGTGCCTGGTGCCTGGTGGTTGGTGGTTGTTGTTTGTTGTTTATTGTTTGTTGTTGTTGTGGTTGCTGCGGATGGTGATGCTGTTGCTGTTGCTGTTGCTGTTGCTGTTGCTGTTGCTGTTGCTGTTGCTGTTGTTGTTGTTGTTGTTGTTGTTGCTGTTGTTGTTGTCGTGGTTGTGGTTGTACTTGCTGGTTGTTGGTTGTTGGTTCTTGCAGTCAGTCCTAATGCGGTCTTATGACTACGCTCAGAACTTTAAACACTTTCATCAGTACTGTAGTCCGTACTACAAACAACCTGAATGCTGCCAAACACAGGCTCTGTTGTCCATCGTGCCAATACTGTGCCAATCGTCGAGTTGCTTCCGGCAAGTTCACATCGTCTTTCGGGGACCTCTGTTCCGTTGTAGGAGCGTCGTCCATGGTACTGCGAGCTTTGCACATCCATGTTTATCTTCGTCGTGATGACTACCAATGGCATGATCATCTCAATCATAGTCGTCGCACCGTCAAGATCCTCCTTGGAAGAGTAGCATACGACATCGCACTTGCAACGGCCCGCCCAGGCCAACATCTTGGCCAGAGCCCTGCTCAACTCAGCTTGCTTGATTTACGGTTCAACTTTTACGATATCATTTCTTGCTTCAGGCGATGGGATTTGTTTCTTAAGCTTCTTATCGGCCCCCGGCTCTTTGGTGTCCAACATTGCTGCGGTGCTTTGGCTGCGGCTATGATGATGGTCATGTTGGAAGTTGGGAACTCTGGAATGACGAGACACCGGATGTCTCGTAGCGGCGCAACCACTTGTAGCCGATGTGCTACCAAACTGCCGCATCAGTTTCCACAATCAGAACACTGTGATACACATTTTTCCAGCATTTATCGCAGGGATGTATACGGTCAGATTGTCAACTCTAGTCTCCCTCATCTGCTACACTGAGGCCGGCCTTCAGTGGCTCATTGAGGACGTCCGTCCCGGCCGCCACCTTGGAAACTGTATTCTGAGGCTTACTTACTGGACAACACGCACCAGTCGGGGGATAGGAGGCTAGTCAGTCGTCCGAACACTTGCTTCCAACCAGCGGCTGCTGTACCACACATCCTGCGGCTAAGCCGGAGTGAAGTGTATTTGCATTGGGGTCTTCTCTTAGGTGACCACCTGCTGCTGGTCTTCAGCGGTTACGGTGCCCAGCATCCACGGACACCGGGCTCCAACAAGTGCGAGGTGCATCGGCAGATTTGAGTACGGCTCTGGATTTAGGATGGGCCGTGTGCGGCAAGGATGACAGGCTAAGGCAGCCACTTTTTGTGCGGCGCCGGGCGCCCTTCTGCATCCTGTCACCCTGCTTGCCAGAGCTACCTGGTGCCCTCGGACTTCGCTGCAGACCTACCCAGTGACTTCTTTGAGGCTGGGTAGTGCGTTGTACCGCACAAGGGTCATATTGCCAAAGTTGGAAAACTGTGGTCATCGGGGGCAGCCCTAGCACGTCGTCGTAGAAAGCACGGCCACCATGGATCTTCTCGCTGCCTCGTTCTCTTCTCAACTTACTTGGCTGCCGTACCGGCCTCTCTCTCGCGCTCTCTCCCGCCAGGTGGTTGCCAGTGCCTGCAAGGGCCCAGCGCAGCCAAATGCCTCCAGCCGAGAATCTGTGGAGCCTGTCACCATTCAAGAAGCCGGAAGATGAGTCTGCACGACTCCTTGGGCCAGAAAGCGCATCACCACCTCGCACACGAGCCACAGATGTTGCCAAGTTCTGTGACTTGCTACCAGCGAAGGTCATAGACCAAACTGCAAAGATGGCGACGGGTGCAGCGCCAGGTTCAGATTTGCATTCTGCTCCAGGAGCTCGGTTTAGTTTTCCGACGTAGCTTTCAACTATTCTACTTCTTGCATATGCATATGCTCCGATACATGCATTTATGTACTTCGGAAGATGGTATAAGTAGGAAAGACACGACATTTACATATGAAGATAGCTTGAGCGAGTCGGAAAATAGGAAACACTAGTGAAACCATAGAGCCAAAAATAGCTGCTACGCATAAAATAAAACACGAAAAAGGAAAACAAGTCGGAAGGATATAGGAAATGGTTTGGTTTGATCGTGGGTTCCTACTTGTTCTCCTATGCTTTCGAATGTCGTTCCTGTGCTTCCGTGCTTATTTCCTGTTTTGTGTAGTTGATTTATCATTTCCCTGTCGAAATGTGTTAGTTTCGAGACCTGTATTTTCAGTTCGCATATTGTGCGTATTTGTTTCCTTTGGTTTTTCGTACTGACATTCATGTCAATGTGGTCCAGCAAGTCCATTGCTCGACCTTCTTTCAATCTGGTTACAACTCTGCCTTGGCCGCCGAATGTGCGAAACCTCGAAGACGGCCTGAGAGCATGCGAAGGTGGCCCAGAAGAGATCGAAAGGCAGGCGGCCGCCGCACAGAAGGCGCGTGATGATGATGATGATGATGATGATGATGATGATGATGGTGCTGATGGCGCATGTGCTGGTGATGCTGATGGTGGTGGCGGCCCGGCGGTGGTGGTGGTGGTCGTCGTTGCCTTGATGATGGCGATGCCGTGGTGCTCGCCACCACGTCACTACCATCAATGCAAATCGTCCTCATCATAGTCATCAGCACCAACAAGATCGTGACTGACGTGGCTGTCTAGATTGTCGTGCTGTGTAGTGTCGGAGGGTTCTATAGCATTCTTCGGGGTTCACTTCCAGAAGATGGTGCCTAGCCTAGGGCAATCTTGAAGGCCCTGGGAAACTCGAAAGCCAGCTACCGGCTTGTCTCGATGCTGGAGGCCGGGAATCCGAGCCGTTCAGCTATGGGCGTTTTCTCGATTTCTTATCTTCCTTATGCTATGAGATCGAGACAGGCATTGAACGGGGTTCTTCGACACAACAATCGTACTGCGGCTGCCTAGTTGTGGATTGACAGAAGGATACAAGGTCAAGAAAAAGAAGATCATTACCGTCATTGTTCTTGCATTGGTCCCGAATCCCAGCAGTCATCAGGTCCACGACTTCTTGAGCCAGCTGCCCCAGAGGCGAGATGCAGGGGCACGATGTCATCGTCCTCCTTTCTCTTGAGCTCCTTCAGACAGGTGCCGCATGTCGTTGCTCTTGGATGCCTGCTACACCATCCTTCCCGGAGTGCTTTGTCTGCATTTTTTTGGCAAAGCTTCAGGCTGTAGCCAATATACGACAAGGGGGCGGACATGCTGAAGGGATACTAAACACGGGTTGAGACTCCTGGCATTGGAGATGGGATAGGAGTCTTCTTGCAGGGCACTGCACGGTGCTTCGTGCAGCAGTCGGCGCTTGAGTCTCCACATGTCTCCACCAAGGCTGGTCCCGAGAGCAACTCCCCAGCGACCTTTCGGAAGGCTTCGCTGAGTGCACTTGAAGCACACAGCAGCACCCACTCTCTGCTCACGTATTTTTCGCAGCAGCTGCCACAAAGGAACAAACACTAGCAGTGACTAGCAATTAGCAATCTGTTGAGTTCGATGGCATCTTTGTAGCACATCGTCAAAGCCACGACATGTTGGTCGCTTCGTTTCTGAGTGCGGCCATGCAGGTTGACAGGGGTCGGGTGGAGTACGACAAGCTCCGCGACTTCATGAGCCTTGCCCCCGGTCGACAGCTTCTTCAGGCTCCACACATCTCCACACCTTGGCGCGCCGAGCTTCGCTGCAAATCAGGGTGGGAAACAGCAGAAGCTTTCAGTCGCGATGCCAGCCTTGCTAGGGGCTTCTCACATGACGCGCATGTGCAAAAGCATCAAGAAAGTGAGTCTGCTTCGTCATAGCAGCAGGCAAGGTAGTTTCAGAATTCTGAGCAGTGGCGGATGCAGTTTTTGCGCATTAAGGCTTCGAGTGCAAGGTACGGAAAACACGTTTGCGGCATCAAGTAGTTGGGTTCGCCAGGAGGCGGGGGGGACCGTTTGGGGAGCGAATCATGTCCGTGGCGTGCTGCCCGAGGTCGCCCACGCTTTCTGGAATTGCCACCCTTGCCGGCAAGGACCTTAAGAATCGATTTCGTAGGCATTTTCTCAGGGCGTCTATCAACATGCACTCAAGACTGGACTATACTCGCGGAGTGATCACCTACTTCCTTCTGGCAGCGTAGGTCACAAGCCCCATCACCTCTCAGATGGTTCAGTCATCGCCCGCAACTCGAGATCGAGAGATCTGGAGAGCAGGTGCAACATACACCTCCACACCTGCCTCGAAGTAACAGCTTTCTGCCATGCACGTCCGAACCTCAGATTCCGACGAGCTTGTCCGAAGCATAAACGTTTCACTGGACAGTATGCAGAGACGCTCAGCTCATACTCATCCATACACAGCGCGAAATTTGCTGTGGGAACAGTTCGCTCCGCCTTTGCAAATTCTGACTATGGCACCGCGGAAGTTGATATCGGTTCTGCCTGCACTCAGGCTCCATTGCTTCTCTGGCTGCAGGCACTTTCCCATGCGAGATGACTGCGAACTGCAGGGCTTTTCCCAGGATTCATGATAGGACCAAGTGGGTACGGTCGGCCCCGAAGACTCCCCTGTCCTGCCGTCTTCGCAGCCTTAGACGCAACTTGACGCCCTCATGGAAAAGTCTTAGACTCCCCAACCTGACAGGCTCAAGGAATGGTGTGCCGAGTTCCCGATTGAGGGCTCCGTGCAAGGGGCATTCAGCCCAGGCCTTGGGCAGGTCCTGTGTCCTGTGAAGCTCGAGGAAGTTATGCAGGTTTCGCTTGTGTCCATGAAGGTGAGGAGGGTCCTCATCGAGAGCAGTGGGAGGATTGCCGTTTGGCATGTTGTATCATGTGCTCAGGCTGGGCCTTCTTGAAAGCCCTAGCGCAGGGACACTTCCACGTCGGCGTGTACCAGTGCGAATCTTGGACAGTATTCTGCAAAAGTGCGAGGTTGCAGATCCCCGCTGAATGCAACATTCTCAGATGCCGTGAAACTCTCGGCGGGATCTTCATGTGTAGACACTGTGTCTGCACGCAATACACACCCTCATATGGCTCATATCTACTCAATATGGTGTTAACTTACACCCCTTCTCCCTCTCTCCCCCTCTTTCTCTTTGGCTTGGGTTCATTTTTTCCCTCACTGTACCTGTATACTGGCACGTGCACGTAGGCAAGTACCTATGTGTGTACGTATGCAAAAATGTAGATTAGATAGATAAGTGCGTTATGTATGCATGCATGCGCAGGCATGTAGTTGTGCGCGTGTTTGTTTATGGGTGGGTGTGGTTCTCGTTCATGAACTTCAAGGGTCGCGCCCCGTTACATGTCTCACAAGCCTTGCCCCCCTCCCCAAATAAATAAGAGTGGATGAGCCAGACAGATAACACCAATAATCCCTTGTCTTCTTCACCTTGCAGCTTGCAGGGGGACGGAGGGGGGTGTACGGGAGCTCCGTCCAACATTGGTTTGCGCCAGGGCCCAGTCGTGGGCAGCTGGCTGGACCGTCATCATTCCCGGTGTCTAATGTAGCAGGGCACAAACCTTACCCCATGCGCATCATTTCACCCAGTGTTGTATGCTATTCTCGATGTCGGCGTCCTTGGTACGAAAGAAAAAACTCCATCTCATTATCGTTTTCATGATTATCACTACCATCAACATCATCTTGTTCCACGTAGCCAACCATGAGCGTTCCCAACTTGTTGAGATTGTGTGTGTGTGTGTGTTGTGTGTGTGCGCTCGTGTGTATGCAGTATGTGTGCACGTATGTAACTGCATGTGTGCAAGTGTATGTGCGTGTGCGCCTCTGTGTGTGTATTCCTGTGCGTGTGGGCTTGCATGTATGTATTTATGTATGTATGTACGATGAATCTGGATGAGTTCAAGGTAACTCTGCTAGTGAACTTGTGTTCACCTGAAATCCTCGCCTGACCCAGTCGAGCGCGAGTGCCAAAAATGTATGTATGCATGTGTATAACGAGGTATGTGCGTGTGTGCATGCGTAGACGCACGCATTATGTATGTGCGTGTATTACATGCGTGCATATCTGTGTATGTATGTATGTATGTACGTACGTATGTATGTGTGTATAAATATAAATATAAATATATAAAATATATAAATATATATACACACATAAATATATATATATATATATTTGTTTATAAATAAACAAATATTATATATATATAATCATATATGTGTGTATATATAGATGCATGAATTTCTTCGTGATATGTTATGTAGCAAATGTAACGGTGTAATGCATTGTATACGGATACACATGTAGACATGTATGCATGCGCACATCGGCACGAATAGAGCTGCTAATCATGCTGTCGATTTCAGTCTGACAGCGAGTGCCGTCAGCATGCGTCGAGACCGGGCAGTTGAGGTTTCAGCAGCTGGTGAGCAATATCCTGCTGAACCTCAAGGCTGAAACTGCGGTACTTCAGGCTTCGGATCAGATCTATACCGGCCGCGGCAAACCTTGAACGTCTTGTCATGGCTTGTCCAGCCCTAGGGAAACACACACGCAGCAAACAAGGAAGCATTCAAGCCCAAAGACTCTGTGCACCCTGCCAACACCTGTCAGGGATACTTTCGGCATATCGACCAGCAGCCAGTTCTCCAGCTTTCGGCTGCTGCCAGCGCCCAGGCACACTCACGTCGTAGGTGACAGCTATAGATGCTACGCGTGCTGTGGCACGCCCCTGTACACTAGATCTCCCGGGAGTGTAAAAAGTTTTGATCATCCTGACGCTGCGTGATGCCAGGACGTGGTGTTGTGGACATGAACCGACTTGAAATTCGCCGCCGCGCACTGAAAGCTGCACTCCGTTTGATGCAAAGACCTTTCGGGACTTCCGCCCAGGCCAAAGCTCCGGTGAGAGGGGCATTGCTGCACAAAGAAAGTCTCTTTGGATTGCGCAGATCTCTCAAAGCAGCGGCAGTGTATGGCAGTGGCTATGTTTTGAGTTGAGGGATCTTGAAGTTCAATGGGCAGAAGACAAGAGCCCTTCTGAGGAGACTCACTAGAACAGATTAGAACGAGCAAGGCAGCACTGAGCGACACAAGGGAAACACAGGAGGCCAGTGACTCGGCCAGACCGAAACTTTGGTCGCGTTGGTGATGCCTGGCAACCTGGTAAATGCAAGTCCGGCAAGAGCCAGGCCGGGGGAGAGGCCCCGCGGATCCTAGTTAGTCGATGGCATCTTTTTTGCTCTCTCCCCAAACACGCCTTGGTGATTGCTGCGCTTCTGCGCTTCGGCGCAGCTTCGCTTATGCACGCACCGGAAGCAGGCAAGCCTCCTTGCTGGTGACACCGCACGGCTTTTCGGCACAAAGCTTCAAACGCCGAGCCGCAGTCGGCCTAGGCCTATGATATCCGAGATTCTATTCGTAGGATAACTCAAGCAAAGCCTTTGAAGCGGATCGGACTGCCGCGCATCTCTTGCCCGATGCCCGACCACGCATGTGAGTTAAAGAAGGGCACGTGGCCTCCGGACAAAAGGTAGGGCTGCTTTGGGGTTGCGTCTCCAGCACGTGCCCCACAAGCCAGCTTTCACGTTTGTCGTGCATGGAACAAGTCGAACCTTTGTGTTTGCCTCGTCTGCTCCATGGCAGCTTTCAAGGGCTTTGATCCCGACTATTAGGTGTGTGTGAACCCTCGAGGACTGGCAGTGCACGTTAACGCATGCTTTACCAAGACTTCTTTGCCAGGCTAGTGTGGTACTAGGACGGGCTAATGAAGCATCAAATTGCTGGTGCTCCAGAAGCGTGGTCTTGTGGACTTGTATCGAGCCTCGCGTGCCGCGATTGATGAATGGCCGAGGTCGATGAGGCGCACACAAGCACAAGGATTCAGAAAATGAGGTTGCATCGGTTGTTGGGAAAGCGAATTCGAAACCCTGGCTCCCTTCCAGTCTCTAGACCATGCCGGAAGAATTGGAGCCGATCATCTTGCGAAACAAACCAGCAGCTTCGAGGTATTAAGGTAGAACAGAAGAATAAACAATTAGAATGGACAGTGAGATCGTGCGTCTTTGTTTTCAGCTTGCCCATTGCTGTCATCAAGGCTGCCGGGTGCTGCTAGAGCAATATCAACTGTTTCAAGCAATATCTCCTTGAATGCATCGTGGGTTCGTCATTGCAAGGTCGGCGTCAAAAATGCCTTCACCTCTTCCTTACTACACGGCTTGTGCGCTAAAGAACACTTATTGATACTAGTCCTTCGCTGTCACAGCTTCTACTGGGGTTCTACCATTTCGTACGACAACCCTACGACGACGACGAGTCCCTCCACCTACTACTCTACGGTACGACTGTACTCCTCCTACTACTACTTCTGCTGCTGCTGCTGCTGCCAGCTGCCGCTACTGCTACTGCTGCTGCTGCTACTACTACTACTACTACTACTGCCACTGCCACTGCCACTACCACTACCACTACCACTACCACACCACTACCACTACCACTACCACTACCACTACCACTACCACTAC